GGCTGCCAGAGTTCGTCCCCCTGAGTGGGAGCCGCAGATACCTTCGTGGATTTCCCTTATTACGTAGTCAGCTTGGTGATTGTCGATGCATTTGAGCAGCGGGGTGGAGAATCCCCTCCTGTAGAGTTCATCGGCCACCATGGAGTACCGAGCCGCTTGTGTTCGTAACTTCTTTGCTTCCACCGGGTCAGTTGGCAACTCCCCTTGGACAATAAAGCTCCGGATGGCGGTCATCCAGGTCGGTGCTTCAGTGCCGGTTGTCATACACTCAACTGTCACACTTGGGGAAGGAATCTCAAGGTGAATGGTTGTTCGCAACTGTCCTGGCTTTCGGCTGCTGGCGAGCTGAGCTAGATGATCGGCTCGTTCATTGTTGCTACTCAAGACGTGTCGTATCTGAACCTCGGTGAAATCGTCCTTGAGTTTTTGGAAGAGGTGATAACATTGCAACAAATTGGAGTCTTTGACTTGAAAGTTATCATTGACCTGTTCGGCCACGATTTTAGAGTCAGTCCAGCATGTGATTCTCTTGACGCCCATCTCGGTTGCTAATCTCATTCCGGCTATCAAGGCTTCGTGTTCTGCTTGGTTATTTGAAGCACGAAAGTCGAACCGAAGGGATTGTTCGACTGTGATACCTGAGGGGCTAGCGAGGATTACTCTGGCGCCACTACCTTGGGCATTAGAGGACCCATCAACATGCATGGTCCACGTCTCGTCTTCAAAACGTCCTGGAGGAGTCAGCTCGTTGACGAAATCAGCCAAATGTTGCGACTTGATCGGGCCTCTCAGCTCGAATGATATGTCAAATTTTGAGAGCTCGACCGACCATGCCATCATCTGACCGGCAATCTCTGGTTTCCAGAGGACCTTTGCAACCGGGCAGTCAATTCGGACGATCATCCTGTGGCTTTGGAAGTGCTGCCTTAACTGTTGGGCTGCATAGATGAGCCCTAAGGCCACCTTTTCCAACAGCTGGTAATGTCGCTCGGCGTCTTGCAGCGTCCGGCTGATAAAATACACAGGTTGTTGTATGTCTTGGTTCTCTTGTATCAGGACAGCACTGATTGAACTGCCTGAGACAGCTAAATACACAATCATGTCAAGGTTGGCAAATGGTTTGGAAAGGATCGGAGGTGTACTAAGACGCTCCTTGAACAGTCGAAATGACTCTTCACATTCCTGGGTCCATTCGAACTGCTCTGTCTTCTTCAGCAAGAGAAAGATAGGTCTAGCTATATCAGCCAGGCAAGGAAGGAACCGAGAGAGTGAAGTGAGACGACCTGCCAACTTTTGAACCTCTTTTAGAGTACTTGGACTTTTCATATCCAGAATGGCCTGGCATTTGTCAGGATTTGCTTCAATGCCTCGGTTGGACAACATGAACCCTAAAAATTTGTCGCCTGAGACCCCGAACACACACTTCTCGGGGTTGAGCCATTTGGTGGTGCCGAAGTGCCTGGAACACTTCGGTCAAGTCTTGTGCATGTGTAGATACCACTCACTATTATTTTTAATTGTTCTTTGGCCATTGGTCCAAGCTCATGCTTTTGGAAGCATATATGGCAAGAGCATGCTCTTGGGGACATGTTGGTGGCTAGGGGAGAGGAGCTCAGAAAGCTTGTTGGAGAAGTAATAACCGTACAGTAAAGTGTAGGATGGCAGAGATCTTGGGTGTAGAGGAAAAGATTGTTTTGTTATTTTCTTATCTTTTTCTGATTTTCTTTTATATTTTATTTATTTATTATTTATGCTTATTGTGTGTATTTTTTGAGTTTAAATCTAGTTTGTAAATTATTTGTTCTTAGATCATTAATTTGAAAATTTTGGGAAATAAATTAGTAGAAAAATTAGTGGGATAAAAAATTGTTGTTTACAGTAAACAAATATCCTAATATCCTGTTTGTGATTTCCCGTTATAAGAATCTAACAAATAAACTACGTCGACGTATACATAACTGTTTACTTCTAGTTTGGGGAACATTTGAATATCATAACCTCATATTCGTTGTACCTCTAAGATAACGAAGGATTTGTTTAACTTCATTATAATCTCTTCGTGTAGGTGAAGAATTATATCTTGTTAAAAAATTAACAACAAATGTTATATCAAGTCGTGTATAATTGGCAAGATATATTGGTGCTTTTATAAAATTGAGATATGGTACTTTGGGACCAAGTATGTGACACCCTCTACCATAACATACATATACAATGATTATGAAAACATATTCATGGAGTAAATAAATCTTTTGAATTAAAACCATGGTTCCACTAACATGAGAGTAGAGAATTCACATTCGTAAACATAATCATAATTTACTTGCAGAAATTTCAGAAGAAATAAAGTTAAAGGTTTTCCAAAACAAAAGAAAGAAACTAAATTCCCAAACTAAGCCTAACTATGCCCCGATGTCACATATCCTATCAGAGCACTCCCAACTGAAACCTAAGCCTCATCACCAACATCCTCACGTTGATGATCACCTGCAACACAATTTAAACACATACAAGAACAACAAGGGAGTGAGAAACACCTCACTCAGGTTCAGGTGTAGAAATAAGGTTAGATAACACACACAACAAACATAAGTCACAAGCATAAATTACATGGAAATAATACACATACACAATCAGTATCACATGCACACTCATTTATCATGTTATGATGTCATGGACTCGACTCATAAATGCATGCATGTGGAGCCATACGAAAGTTTCACATTTCTCAACACTGGTATGCTGTTACAGTAGCATACCTAGGGGCACGTTCATTCATGAATAAATCACTGGTGACCAAAGGTACACCTAGAATAACTCAATACATCACTAGTATGAGGCCTAAGCGACACACCTAGAATAGATCATTTCATCACTGATGACCTGGTACACTTGGAATAGCTTGTTACATCATGGTATGTGGCCTAAGTGGCACACCTAAAATAGATCATTTCATCACTGGTGACCCAAGGTACACGTGGAATAGCTTGTTACATCACTGGTATGCGGCTTAAGCGGCACACCTGGAGTCATATATGCACATGATGCATGTCACACATTCACTATTTCATTGAATCAACATTTCACTTATCACGTCTCATCATATCTCATTTCACATTATTTCATAATATCATATCACAGATCATATGTTCACCTTTCACATTCTCACGTCATATTCACATAGTCTTATACAAGGAACTTCTCATAGTCATATACATCAAAATAGTACATAAATCATACTAAGAAATTATCCAAAACATGAAGCCAACATCAATTTTACATATAATGCCTCAAAATCATCCAAAGATCATATTCCAAATTTTACTTCATAGGGTTTCCCACAAGAACCCATAGAACACTCTAACTCATCAAAACTTGTCTATTTTTTAAATTAAACACATATTTACGCTCAACATTACACAAAGAATGCAACAGAACATCAGAAAATAAAACAATGATATTTTGCCTGTTCCTAGAAGTATGCATCAGGCAAGGGATTAGGGGTCAATCCTACTACCTAACAATTATTCCCACACCTCCGAGCGAGGTTTCTCACTCTCCCCTTACTTGGATAAGTAGAAGATGAAACTAGAGCAAAATCTAGTTGATCTCCTTCTCTTGGTTCTCCTTGGTCTTTAGAGAGTGTGTACAGGAGCAGTGCTAGAGTCTGCTATTTATAGATGTCAAAAGTGGCCAGAATGACCCTTTTTGGATCCGGAATGACCCATTATGGATCCTTTTATCATGTGTTAAATTCACATCTATAACGGTCCATTCTTAAACCAGAACGACCCATTCCCAACTAGGGTTATAGGCCTTTTTAGTGTGTTTGGATTTCAGTTAAAAAAGTTAAGTTTAGTTGAACTTAATTTTGTGAACTTCAGTTTAGTTAAAAATAAGTTTAGAATAACTTGATTTATGTTTGGGTACTTTTATTAGGTTGGCCCCTATGTAAGTAACTTGGGATTCCAGCTTTCCCACTTGAACCGATTGCTTGTCTTCAATAGGTTCTACCCTCTCTTCCTGATCGATCTGGGGGTCGAGGTCCATGGCCGATTGCTGTGACACCGAGTGAACGCCTCTCGGCTCCTTAGGCGCTTCGTCATTCACTCTTGGTAAGCGCAGGCTGGCAAAGTAGCATTCTCGCGCAGTCTTCTGATCGGCATGGACCGTGATAACGCGTCCTGACTCGGTCGGGAACTTCATAGCTAAATGAGGGGTGGACACGACCGCCCGAGCCGATTCAGGGGTTAGATGCTCGGTTCATCCGAGAGGTACATTATACAACCTAGTTGGCCAACGTAGTCATGGTAAAGAAGCCGAATGGGAAGTGGCGCATGTGCACCGACTACACCAACTTAAACAAAGCTTGCCCGAAGGACGCCTACCCCCTACCAAATATTGATCGGCTTGTGGATGGGGCATCTGGTCACAAATTTTTGTCATTTCTGTATGCGTACTCCGGATACAATCAAATCTGTATGCACCCCCAAGACGAAGAGAAAACTGCGTTCATCACCGAGACGGCCAATTACTGCTATCGGGTGATGCCCTTCGGATTGAAAAACGCCGGAGCCACCTATCAGCGGCTGATGAACAAAATTTTCAGTAACCACATTGGCCGAAGCATGGAGGTATACGTCGATGATATGATGGTAAAGTCAAGTAACGTATCTACACATGCACAAGACTTGACCGAAGTGTTCCAGGCACTTCGGCACCACCAAATGGCTCAACCCCGAGAAGTGTGTGTTCGGGGTCTCAGGCGACAAATTTTTAGGGTTCATGTTGTCCAACCGAGGCATTGAAGCAAATCCTGACAAATGCCAGGCCATTCTGGATATGAAAAGTCCAAGTACTCTAAAAGAGGTTCAAAAGTTGGCAGGTCGTCTCACTTCACTCTCTCGGTTCCTTCCTTGCCTGGCTGATATAGCTAGACCTATCTTTCTCTTGCTGAAGAAGACAGAGCAGTTCGAATGGACCCAGGAATGTGAAGAGTCATTTCGACTGTTCAAGGAGCGTCTTAGTACACCTCCGATCCTTTCCAAACCATTTGCCAACCTTGACATGATTGTGTATTTAGCTGTCTCAGGCAGTTCAATCAGTGCTGTCCTGATACAAGAGAACCAAGACATACAACAACCTGTGTATTTTATCAGCCGGACGCTGCAAGACGCCGAGCGACATTACCAGCTGTTGGAAAAGGTGGCCTTAGGGCTCATCTATGCAGCCCAACAGTTAAGGCAGCACTTCCAAAGCCACAGGATGATCGTCCGAATTGACTGCCCGGTTGCAAAGGTCCTCTGGAAACCAGAGATTGCCGGTCAGATGATGGCATGGTCGGTCGAGCTCTCAAAATTTGACATATCATTCGAGCTGAGAGGCCCGATCAAGTCGCAACATTTGGCTGATTTCGTCAACGAGCTGACTCCTCCAGGACGTTTTGAAGACGAGACGTGGACCATGCATGTTGATGGGTCCTCTAATGCCCAAGGTAGTGGCGCCAGAGTAATCCTCGCTAGCCCCTCAGGTATCACAGTCGAACAATCCCTTCGGTTCGACTTTCGTGCTTCAAATAACCAAGCAGAACACGAAGCCTTGATAGCCGGAATGAGATTAGCAACCGAGATGGGCGTCAAGAGAATCACATGCTGGACTGACTCTAAAATCGTGGCCGAACAGGTCAATGATAACTTTCAAGTCAAAGACTCCAATTTGTTGCAATGTTATCACCTCTTCCAAAAACTCAAGGACGATTTCACCGAGGTTCAGATACGACACGTCTTGAGTAGCAACAATGAACGAGCCGATCATCTAGCTCAGCTCGCCAGCAGCCGAAAGCCAGGAGAGTTGCGAACAACCATTCACCTTGAGATTCCTTCCCCAAGTGTGACAGTTGAGTGTATGACAACCGGCACTGAAGCACCGACCTGGATGACCGCCATCCGGAGCTTTATTGTCCAAGGGGAGTTGCCAACTGACCCGGTGGAAGCAAAGAAGTTACGAACACAAGCGGCTCGGTACTCCATGGTGGCCGATGAACTCTACAGGAGGGGATTCTCCACCCCGCTGCTCAAATGCATCGACAATCACCAAGCTGACTACGTAATAAGGGAAATCCACGAAGGTATCTGCGGCTCCCACTCAGGGGGACGAACTCTGGCAGCC